ACGTAAAGCAGGGTGCTTTGAATCAAGCGTTTGCTTGTGACGGGAAATTTCTGGCCTCTGAATGAGTACAACGACAACGATGGTTTTCATGGGGACAGCACGTTTCTCGATCTTATAATTTTGAACCAGTAAGAACCAAGCGAATATTTTAGACTTTGATGTGTAATTAATAAATGAGAGATAGTTGCACGTGCGCGTGATTTTTATTTTTATAAATTAAATTGCTTAGAAAAAAGTGACAACATTCTCTTTAATTATAATATATTCATATAATATATTTGTATATCTAGTTGAATAACAACGCTAGATATTAATTAATATTGACATTTTTATCGATATCCATAGCATCATTTTATTAGTGATGGCAAATATCAATACTTTTTTTTTTAAACTATTGTTATTTCGAGTTATAGATTCCTGAGGGAATTATCGGCGATTCGCATCCAAGATATATTTGTATATGGAGCCGTGATTAATTTGATTAATTTTATCAAATGGATAATAAGAATACGCCTGTAATCCGCGACAAGGCAACGTCGCGCTCTTGCGAGGCTGCCGAAAGACGCTCAAGACGCTTTCCCTAAAGATCCTGAAGCTCAGTTTTTGAAAATGTAGAAAATGTAGAGAATTAATAGAACACATAATTTACATTAAAATATCAATTTTTTATTTTCTTTTTCTTTCTTTTGTGCCTCTTTATTTAAATTTCCCTAAAGATCCTGAAGCTCAGTTTTTAGGAAGTACGAAAATGTAGAGAATTAATAGAACACATAATTTACATTAAAATATCAATTTTTTATTTTCTTTTTCTTTCTTTTGTGCCTCTAATATATACTTATTTAAATGAAAAATATAAATAATTTTTCTGTTCTAAGCTGTGAATATATAATAAAATCTATAGCAGAGTTGGTGTGATTTTTATTCTAATAATTAAAAATAAATAAATTGTAGTACATAAAAATAAAGAATGAAAAAAAAAATCGAGTTTTTTTTTCCAACTTCAAAGAAATTTGTGTTATCGGGAACTCGAATAAATTCTCTAATTATTTATTATGATCAATTTAAGAGATCATAATCTCAGAGGAAAGATTTTTTCGATTTGATTTGACCAGTTTCGTAAACATTTTTTATGAGCGTAATTAAGCGTTTTATCCTCGCTTAATAGACACGCGTGCACACGCGAGGAACACGCGCAGCCTAAACGTAAAATCCCGTTTTGACGTTCTCGATCTACGTCTGCTGGACCGAGGCTGAGAGAAGATGCCTTGGGAATGTATTAACGGAACGTACGACGTACGCGCGCCCGCGCGTACATGCGGTACATTTTTCTTACTATACGTCAGACAGTATAAATCTGGAATGCCTATCTGTCTCGCTCGGTTTTGACTGCTTCTGCCAAAGCGAGGAGAACCTCACGTATCTATCGTGAGATACACGAACTTTATATACGATCGAGTATATATATAATCTAATATCGATATAGAATTCGACATGTTCTATTAACTTTACGTATCAATGTGATATTATTATATATCTGTTAATTATAGAGAATATTTTACCTTATTCGAGACCATCTTTGAAATATTTTCACTGTTATTGACGATATAAAGAAATGGGTGCGTTCAGGAGACACAACTGTTGAGCATCGTCTTGTCAATACTCGATGCTGATTTGCTATTTCTAGAAGTAACAACCAATCACGTACGATTGTTACCCAACGGTTGTTTCCTGAACGCACCCAATGTGTAAGAAAAAAATTATACGGAAGATCTCAAGGCTCTAGAATATATGTAGGAAGATTGTTTGTTTACATGCCAGCTACAACATGGTGTATTATCATCGATTTCAAAACACGTAGATATTTAAATCGTGAAAGAAAAATGTTTGCTAAAATGTTGATACCTATTTTTAATTTTTGCCTTCAACTAAATAATTTTTTCTCCCAACATTTTTTACATTTCCCCATAATAGCGGAGATATTTCGGATATTCATTTAGGTGAGAGATACTCCGTATATTTTCTCAGTTATAAAGGTAGAAAGAAGACACATAGATGTCACAAAATTATAGTTTTGCAAGATTAAGAGAATCGTCGTACAATGTATGCGTCGTGACGATTCGGTAGCGGAACCAAGGATTACCGCGAATAACGTCCCTGTCGTCTCGGCGTCGTCTGACGCGAGAAGCTCTGTCCTACTCGGGACGACAAGCTCGCATCTCTACACGCCGTACGGGCGACGTGTCATCGGAGACATATCGACACACAGGCACGCATATCTATCTATCTATCTACCTACCTACCTACCTACCTGTGCCTGCCTGCCTGCCGGTGCATAAGGTCCAGGGCGGCAAACGGAGAAACGCTACATGCGGCCGGGGTTTGGATAGGGATCCGTGTGTACGTCCCGGTAGCGACACACAGCCGTGGCCGACAGTCGACACACAACGGAAAGACGGAGGACGACGCCGTTGGCAGAAGGAGCGGGCGGCGGACAAAGAGAGACGGATGAGGGTGGTAGACGGAGACGGCGACAGACGCCGCCGGTTTCTCGGATCGAGCAACCAGCGCGAGGACGAGAGAAGAGGACAACGGCGCGGCGGCGAGATGAGAGAGGATGCCAGAGCGGGACGGGCGAGAGGGGAGGGAGAGGCAAAGGGGATCCTTTCCCCTCTATCGTTGTGGCTCCACCCACACGCCACCGTCGTCGCGCCGAGGCGCGCAATCTGGCAACAGTGGCCCGCTATATAACCGATATTGTGGCCGTGGATTGAATGGAGGGGAACTAGAGCTCTACTCAGGTCAAACCGCCCCACCAGCGGATCCCTCCGGTCGCACGGAGGAGAGCGACCCCTCGCTATCCAACCCTTGCGCGCACCGAGTCCTGGCTCCGTCTCGTTCCCGCCGGCGCTCGTCTACTGCGCGTTTACGTTCCGTTCTATCGCACCTTCCCCTCATCCGGCACAGCCGTGTACCCCCACTCCGCGTCCTCGATTACGCTTCCCTTTCGCCAGATGGCGTCTGAGCACGTTGGCATTGTCACCGTGCGTGTGTGTACGTGCGGCGACGTTTCTCCCACTGCGCCTGTGTGGCGGTGACTCACTACCACAACGACGTCTACGGCTCCGTTCTATCACTATCTTCGACAACGAGTTTCACCCACCCAACGGCAGAGAGAAATCGGTGTATATACGTGCCGCGCATATGTATACATATATGTATGTGTATGTGTGTACGAGACGCGATCGTGACGACGAATCGACGCGGGACAAGGATGCGAGAGGGCGCGCTGGTGGGAGCGAGAAGGGTGAAGAGCGAGAAGCGCGAGAGAGAAAACGAGAACGTGGCAAAAGGGAGCGAGCGAGAAGGACGCCGTAGGCCCCAACAGCCTCTCACTAGACAGTATTACTTTCAACCGTTTAGTGGGGCCAATGCTACTCGACACGCGGAGTAGTCAGTCAGTCCGAGCAATCGGAACCAACGAACATATCGAGAAAAGAACGCTCTTTTCTTCTCTATAGTTTTTTTTTCTTTCTCCATCTCATTTATCCTCTCCTTCAGCATTCGCCAATTTAAGAGAGAGATATATATATATATAAGAACGGCGTTTTGCCTTATCAACGTCATAGGGGACGTGCATTCACGTCGACGACCAAATGCACTATCGTCCCCACGTCGTTGACAATTTTCTTATCAACGCTCGCAGCATCCGTACCTACTGACGCTGCGCTCGTGACAGACTGAGGCGCGCGACTGCCGCGGCCGGTGGATATAAATAAAGTTTCCGCGGTCTCTCGCACGCGCGGGAGAAAGAAAGAAGCGAAACGAGCGCGCGCGACGACGACGGCCAAGGAGAAGGAGGAGGGGTGAGGGGAAGGAGAAGCAGCGGCGGCAGCAGGAGGAGAAGAAGACGGAAGAGGGAGATCGAAGAGCGCCGGCAACTGTGCGGCACGGCTGTTGTTTGAATACTTCTTCCGGCGAGAGCGCGCGATCGATCGATCGAGCGGGCCGATCATCCATCGCGAGAAAGAGAGACGTGTATTATTTGAACAAGTGAACGCACGCACGCACGCACGTACGCACGTACGTATACATACGCCGGAAAAGCGACGCGATCGCAAGGACTCCGCCGCCGGTAGTATCGGCTGTGCGAGAGCGGAGAAGCCTTCCATCCTTCCCCCTCCCCCCCCCACCCCTCTTCTCCCACGAAACACGGAGAAGAGAATATAGAGGGAGGGAGAAGCGGCGCGGCGCATCGCATTGAAGTCGCACGCGCGTGGAACACTCCGACCGGTTATCGCCTTCAGTTGGCTCGTGGCTCGTGCGGAGCGTGGTCGAGGTGTTGTATCGTCCGTTCTCATTGCGTTCTGTGCCTGTCGCATCGTCGTCGTCGTCGTCGTGTTTCCGTCGTAATGTGCCTATGACGAGGTGATGAACGGCCGACGTCGTAGTGTCGAGCGGCGTAGTGACATAGTGTTCGTCGTCCTGCCGATGGACGATGACGATTAACGAAGCGGACAGCAACAACGTGGTGATCGTCCGTGGACGCGAGGGAGGGAAAACAGTGTGCTCTTTGTGATCTAGTGTACTTACTTGTATAATTTCGCATATATATATATATATATATATATACACATATATGTATTATATATACATATATTTATACACGCGACGCGTACGGCGTGCATTCTTGGATTACGCATCGTCGCGGAGGATTCCCGTTTGTGATCGTCCCTAATCAGAGGATCCTATCTGAGGATAATGCGATATTGTAGTCGTCGCGCAGGTGAGTCCTTCAACTTGCTCAACTTGACTTTGGGATGCTAATATAGTGATTATTATTAATAATGTTACCCGGTGTATCCTCAACGCGTGTTTTTCGCGTGAACATAACCTTTCCAATGATAACAGATGAGATTTCTGTTTATAAATCATAACTTTAATATTCTATTTTGATCTCGTTGGAAATTATATCTAACAACGTCTCTTCCAACGTTCTCATTCATAATAATTTCATATTAGCGTCCTAAGATTAGTTTTTCGAGAATTATTCATTATACAGGGTGTACCGTAAAGATCGGATCAACGCTTAAATTCCTGAGATCATTTTAAAAATATCGAGACATCAATAATTTCCGTGTTATAAGCGATTAAAAAAGAAGGGCTTTTTGCAAACTAAACTTTATAGAGAGTTGGAATCATATTCTTTAGTTAATCTCAGGTAGAGTTTTCTTTAATAGAGAGAGAAAATTTTAATTTAAAGCTTAGTTACAAAGATATATGATAGAAAAAATTGGAAACTTGCAAAAAATGATGACCTTTCTCGATATTTTCGCTGAGGAAAAATCGTCTTAAAATGATCTCAGGAACCTACCCTTAAGAGTTGATCCGGTCTTTACGGTACACCCTGTATATAGTGCGAATTTTTGCATCTTTTTAATTGCAATTTATATATAAAGCTTGATTCATAGCTTGATGAGTAATGTAAATTTTATGGAGAATTCATTTGCTTCGGTGAATCGTGTGAATCGAAAATATTGAACGATCACTTCTAATACGACGCGGTTCTCTCTCTCTCTCTCTCTCTTTCTCTCTTTCTACTTTATCATCGATTATCGGAGAACGCGCGCAAAATGAGATCGAACTTTGTGAGTGGAATCTTGTTCCCGCTTTCCCTCCGTGTCTTTTCGAGATCATTCGTCTTTCGAGTCCAACTCTCCGTACTGTAAATACGGAAATACGTAAAATGTCGCGTTTCTCAATTCTTGCAGTCTTGTGAAACGAGACTCCGTAGTTAATCTAGTAGTTGTAGCAGTAGTGGTAGTGGTAGCAGTAGCGATAGTAGTAGCCAGAGTACAAGAGTACTTACTGGTATTTACCGTAGTCTCCTTTTACGCGCCTCGACTCGTATCGACGCGAAATCCCGCGCGACTCTCTCGTCCGTACATCGATCGGCGGGAAAACGCCCGCGATCTCTCTCTCTCTCTCTCTCTCTCTTTCTCTCTCCGTCTCTCTCCTCGATGCCGTTACTTGCTCGTTATTACATCGCGCGGCGATGGATATTCCGACCGAGCGTATAGCCAGGCGCTTTCACAACGGGTGATTGTTCTAAAGATGTGTCATTCCGTCCCGCTCGCGCCGACTAGAGATACACTCGGGCTTTCGGGCCCCGGTTAGAAACCGCGAGAGAGCGAGAAAAAGACGCGCGAGACACGCGGCGTCGAGCCGCGAGAGCAGGCGAGAGCAGCGGCGGTAAAGGTGGGAAATGAGGGGGGGGGGAAGGGAGGAGGGAAGTGGAGATATCGAGGCGATCATCCGCCGTCTTATAGATGCGTGCGCGCGCGCGAGTCAACGAGAACCAGAAAGTCACGTCCACTGTAATCTTCGACGGGCTGCTCCTCTCTGTAGGTCATAACGCGTGCGAAGCTCTACGTATATTAACACCTTCGTTCGGGACACCCATAGGTCATAGGTCGAGATATCTCGACGACCGTTTAAACCTCGAAAGTTCTGCTTCGCTATCGCACCTTGCGAATTTTCTCCTAAATCATCTGTAGTGTCTTTTTTTTTTTTT